ACACCATAAAAATAACAACATCTCTACTGAAATTTCGGAGGTTGAGGCCCTATGTTCCACTTGAAATCTGAAAAGAATGAAAAATCTCCATGATTCATAAATTGGTTGAAATAATGAACTTTATGAAACAGGCTAAATTTTTGTGTTTAAATAAAAGCCAAGTCCTTGAAGTACATTCACTTGAAAATTTGCAATTATACCGGAAAAAAATGCTTAGAAGTGAAATGAACACTGTCGTAAAATTATAAGTATCCATAAAATTAGAAATGATGGAGAATTTTTAGCTTAGATAAGCCATACTGTTTTATTTGTCTGCTGTCTCTTTCCCTCACTCTCTTATAATATTGTCTAGAAAGGTAATAAAAGCCTGGCAATTAAACCATTTACAGCTCAGAGAACATTAATATACTAATACTTATAAGAAAAAAATATATCCACCTTACAGACAATTAGTAAAACATGTATAGAAATGATGAATCCTTTAAGATTATAGTTGGTTGAACAACTTCAAGTATTATATTTTACTGATGGATGAAATGATTACTGCTGAAGGGTGCAATAAAGTAAAGCAATTTATCATAAAAATAGTGAGAAATGTAAGTGAATCCAGATAATAAAAAGCGACAATAAGATAGAGAAATGGAATCTTCCAACGAAAAACTATATTAATGTAAGTGTAGAACTTGGGCACTGTGGTAGAATGTAATTCCATATTAGATAAGTTTGTTTTATATATCAGACAGTGATACAGTATTAACAATTGGATGACGTTTCGAGCATAAATTATTGCTCATAGTCATATAAATTTTAGCCACACGATTTCACAATTTGTCTTAAATATTTTCTTCAAGTATTGATTTTTGTAGGGATTGGTTGGAGGATTTCATCATTAGCTGACAACAGTTACAGAACCATTGGAAAATCTAGGAGCACTGGACAGCCGTTTCGTCCCAGTTTGGGACTCTTCATCAGCATGCAACCATTCTTTCTCTTTCCCTCTTCCCCTTGTTGTTTGTTGCCACTTTCCATATCTCCGGTGTAGGCATTGCGTCATTCTGAATGCACATTAAATCGGTAAACAAAGCTTCAGTGATCAACCTCTCACCCTGTCCCAAACTATCGCTGTGTGATTACATGCAAGTGAATGCAGTGCAATGGCTGAGCTTTTTCCTAGGTTTCATAACTTAGCAGGGTCAATTGTTCTAGGTCTAGCTAAATTTTTATGAATTTCGTACAATGATTCCCTTTTATAAATTTGAACAAAGAAAGAAGAAACATTGGCGCAGAATAATCTGGATCCATTTTATTTCGTTGGTTCTCATCAGCTGCGTACAACCTGAATTTTTTAATTAAAAATAAAAAGTGTACAATTTTAACAAACCTTTGTCCATTAGCAAGCATAGTGTCAGAGCGTCATAGTAAAATAAGGCATTGAGATTTACAGGGTGTCTAAAGTGTCACGACATATATATATATATAAATCTTGGTAGAGAGAAGTTTCTTGAAAAAATTAGTTAACAGTTGTGTTGTTAAGGTGGTAACAAAAGACAATTAGCAATAGTTACGAAATTAGATAGAAGAAGATCGAAATTTTAAAATTTCGTAACTATTGCTAATTGTCTTTTGTTACCACCTTAACAACACAACTGTTAACTAATTTTTTCAAGAAACTTCTCTCTACCAAGATTATATATATATATATATGTCGTGACACTTTAGACACCCTGTAAATCTCAATGCCTTATTTTACTATGACGCTCTGACACTATGCTTGCTAATGGACAAAGGTTTGTTAAAATTGTACACTTCTTAATTTTAATTAAAAAATTCAGGTTGTACGCAGCTGATGAGAACCAACGAAATAAAATGGATCCAGATTATTCGGCGCCAATGTTTCTTCTTTCTTTGTTTAAATTTTTATGTTCCAATAATCTAGTTGACTCTGATCTACTAGTTTGACCTATGTAATTGACCTCACTCACAGTCATCATTACATGGTATTTGGTAAATTATATTATTTTTCTTAATTGGATCTATTGGGTGAGTCTTTAAACCGACAAAGTTTATCTCTGAGATAGTTGTTTGGTTTAAATGTCACCCTAATTACAACGTCATTGAGAATTCTACACAAGGCCTCTGACGTTCCTTCTTTGTACGGTAGTAATACAGAGGATTTGAATACTATATTATTTTCGTCATTTTCATTATATATTATTATAATATTACTTATGTTGTTTACTGTCAATAATTTTTACCAAAATACCAAAAACAATCCCCATGTTATCTAGATCAAGTGAAATGTTTGTTTAAAAGTATTCTTCTTTAGCACAATATTTAATGTTACTCCACTAGTAAACATTTTCAATCATATTGCATATGATTATGAACAATAACTCTTGATTTGGGGCCGTAGCTAGCAGTAATATTCAAGATGAGCATTTCGTCCTGCTTGAGACTCCTCAGGTGGATGTGCCTGAAGCTCAGTCAGTAATCGTGTTGCAACCGAAACTCTAACTCATCACCCATTCTTAGAACATCATAGCGTTATCCACTCAGTCCACTTATCCACGAAAGTCACATCATGTAGTACAGGTATCAGGTGTTGTTTAGAACCAATAATGATATTTTACTGTGTAACATAAATTTAAAAATGGATAATTAAGGGACCGTATGTAGTGACTAAAACTCAAGCATTTGGATGTGAATGCAAGAAACCAATTGATGTGTCCTTCCGCATAGTTGGTCGAACTTCCTCGAGTTACTCAAAGTCAAAAAACTAAATTCAGTAGTTTCGAAAAACGCATTTTGATGTCATAAAGTTTATGATACTATTGAACAGTAATAACTCGTATAAAAATATGAAACTACCTCAACAATGCCATACAGAAACTTTATAGACCAAAAGTTTATCAGCTACAAGTAATCTATTTTATAACAAAATCAGCTGATCAAACACCATGCTAAATTATCGGAGAATCAATGAGTATATTCTCAACGAGGTGGGATCAAAACTCTGTCTGCGAGAATCAAACAGAACTAAACACATTTCGCACAGTCAGTCCAAGGTCAAGCAGTCACTCTGCAGCGTAGCCTTGACTTCACTCACAAAATACAACAACAAAAAAGAAGCATTAAATATAAGGATCATGGAAAAACAAAGACGAATAATAGAGATTAAGTCGAAAGAAGATATATCAGTATTAGGACGATGAGAAACAAACAGGTCAGGAGAAAAGGGTGGGAACATCATCACTCACTGGGAAATGCAGGTACATCCAGCCGACGAGTCCCAAATAGGACGAAATGCGCATCCTGGATTCCACTGCTAGTCACCATACACAAATTAAATTACAAAATCAGTTGAAATGTATCCAAAGAGTACGAATATTTTAGACAGATTTTTGATAGAGGGATTCTCAGAGCAATTACTCTGTTACACCATCGATGGAACTTTTGTCATTCGTTACCTTAATATACGTTATACAACCAAAAACCTTAATAAATAGAGTAGTCACGGTTCATCTTTTCCCAGTAATGTTCCAATTACATCATACAGTGTATAATTGATATTTTATTTTAATGGTACTGGTATTTTTTAAAATTTTTTGAAGTAATTATATTTGATATGTAGAGAGAGATAGAGATAACATTATACCTACCGTATGAAATTCAGATCACCCAATTCATAGATTTACGCTTTTATTATTACTATAATTGTTGTTACTAGAACTAGATATGTGACACATTAATTGTCTAAACAAATTAAAAAGTTGTATGATCGATTTCTGTAATATTTTTTATAAATCCTGGCAAAATGGGCACCCAGTTTTTGGCAGATAACAGACAAATCGATTTTACGACTTCACTAGCAAATTAAAATTGGATGAAATTAATCTTTTTTATTCATCAAGAATCTACTCTTGCTTTACACATCATTATCTAACATATGGATTAGTAAAATTACATCATTAGTCTTCCTATAAATAGTAGGTTAGTTTTAGTTTCCCTATCTATCAGTTTGCCATGTACTACTCACAAGGTTTTGTAAGTATTATATTATGTGTGATGTCTTTTGCAAGAACATTGAATAGTGAGGCGGCAGATTAAGTTTTCAGGAAAAGAAATGAAATATTCTTGTGAAACAATAAGGAAAGTATGAAAAGAAGACAAAAGAAGCAGAATACCAAGGGGATTTCAGTGTAAGGTTGCTACATTTCGCTGAATAAACACTTCTGTTACTAGAAATACTACCGTGTGTTCCATTACACCAGCATTTATTTGACAATAATCTGTTCACTTGTTTGTTCAGTGGCCTCTAGTTTATGGGTGTACATTTGGATATTCATTAAAAATGGTGACTATTTTTTGAGCGTACCTATGCAGCGCAAACTATAATCAGTAAACCAAGAATGATTCATCAGCTAACCAGTCGGATTAGAGATGTCTACTTCATGACGGACAGGATATTTCAGAATTTAAGTCAGTTCCTCATTTTGAAATTACGATTACATGACAACTTGAATATTCACAAAATATAAAGCATTGAAGAACAGATATTGTCTTTTTTTTATTCCTTCACGTTCCCCAGTGGAACATAGGTCTTCAAGCTGGAGTCTTGAAATTTCTGTAGCAGTGTTTAGTTTTACAGGATGGGGTTGCTAGCCTCATGCCCAACCTTTCCTCTTCACCAGCTTTATTTCTAGCTTAGTGAGGTAAAGGAGTGCGCCGGCCGGGGACCGAACCCCGGACCGTATACATGGTCGGCGAGCGTCCTAACCGCTATGCCACCTATGCACGATATTGTTTTTTACTTTCACAATATTAGAAGAATACATTTTTAAATTCATTTACAATTGAAAACTTGAAATTGTTTAAGTCAACACGCAAATAGGAATGCATTGATGACATTTAAGGTTATGAAAGAGCTATTGTTTCACTATGCATAATGGCAAATTTAAACAAGTTTGAAAAAAAGGTATTTTATCATTCACTACGCTTACCTTGTTCACTAATAATTGGTTGAATAATGTTAATGACACAAAGTGTCAAGACTATGAGATAACAGAATTTATCAATGTTCAATGTGTAATTTATAATCATGTTCAATATAATAATTGAATTGTCTACTGAGTTCCCTTATTTAATCATATGTTAATCTGTTTTTATTTTACTTATCAACTGATAAATATTTGTACTGATAACAAGATTTATTTTGATAATTCATAAATGCATCTATTTATATGATAATGTGATAAATAAATTAATTAATATGTAAAAATATTTCCTCAACGCACAAGATAGTTAACAATTTATCATAGGAAATTAAATACAAAATGAATCATACAAATAATGTGGCCATCTATATCTCAGCTTTGCATATTATTGGATCATTTTGTCGTTGGGATTTCGGCCAATTGTGAGGCCAGCTTTTCAAGGTCATTTCATGTGAAATAAATTTTAAAATTTGTTATCCATAAACATGTGAATATTCATTATTTACTGTTTGCATAAAAAAATAATATAATTTCCGGTCTCACCATTGTTTTTAAAAAAATACTACGTTGAACTGCGAAACAATTTCAATAGTCAAATAAATGGTGATCAGTATCTCAACATATAAGCCATGAACCTTTTATCTTTAGGTTCATTCACATTTCCCGTGTATTACGTTGGATTGAGATGACCGGTCTTTGTTACTATGTTGGATCCTGGTACGGAGGCTTCGACGATGTCTGAAGATTAATATGATGTTATTTCGATTGATGGCAATTAACAGTGGAATTCTGCATGTCCCTTTCGTCCTACTTGGGACCCGTCATCTCCTCCCTCTAAGTCAACAAAGACCGAGCATATCAGTTGAGCATAAACAATCAGCGGGAATTGCAAATTGACTTGAAAACAAATAATAACTGTTACCCAATGCACTAGAGGTAGCTCTGGCAGCCCAAGTGGCCTAATGGACGGCATTTCGGTATCTGAAGAGATGGATGGTGAGTTCGAGTCTTATTGGGGACACCATTCATTGAGGATGCGGGCATATGCATTCAGTAAGTCCCCAAAAAGAAATCTTTGATTTTTCTGCCAATTATTATCAACTAAAAAACAGCAAAACAGCTGTACAGTTCTCGTTAGCAGCTTTGTATTCGCCTATCAGCTTAAGTAACACTTGATGCTCTAAAAACAATCATGTCTTATCACTCATGTCTAAAATCTTTTGTACTACTGACAGAGATATAGTGGCATTTTATGGCTGTAATAAAATTAGACACAAAAAGAAAGCTTATGACCGTCATCTGCTTGGATGACAGTGATATTTGCTATCGGGCTTGTTTGACTCACAATATAGCACCACTGTCATCTGATATATATCTTTTGCATATTCTACCACGAGACATAAGGAGTCAGAAGGCGGGAAACCTACTCCTCGTGTTAAATACTTGATTCCTGTGCAACACAATGAATACTATTATTATGTTGCTTAACTCAATGACCATATCACACATATCGATTGATGGATTTCAACTAAGTCGTAGAAACAGATTGGTTCGCTGGTAACAAGCCAGCGACTAATTTACTTGCAAAGTTATAGGTATAGAGGTATTCCAGAGAAGAAGAGTCGTTTACTAGCTTTTAACTACTATTCCATAAACGTCACAACATTTTCAAGCGAAGATCAAAATACTCAAGTGTTGTTTTGCAGGGATTTGATTAGTTTCAGGATTTCATTATGAACTGACATCGGTTAGAGAACCATTGGAAAGTCCACCAAGGAGTACTGAAAAGCTGTTTCGTGTCATGACCAGTGGGGTGCAGCAGGTCGTATGTGAGGACAAATACTCGCCGAAGATATTCGCTATTGGTAGCGCCATGTCATGAATTGGCAGAATTTGGAATTCATGGACCGTTGAATCGGGTTCCAGTGGCTTGATGGTCTATGAGCTTGCCTTGTGACCAGAAGGTGCTGGGTTCGAACCCCGCAGTGTGGGTGCGTACTGATGAAGAGTCCCAAAGTAAGACGAAACAGCTGTCCAGTACTCCCAGTTGGTTTTCCAATGGTCCTCTAACCAATGTCAGCTCATGATGAAATCATGAAACCAATCAAATCCCAGCAAACAACACTTGAATATGAATCTTTTTTTTGTAGTGGCCAATTTCGCCTTCATTTGGGTATGACGATGGATACTCATTAATTGCTTCAGATCACAGTGGTATTAAAGTGCTAATTAACAGAGTCCAAAGTTCACAATACGTTGGTGGCGCTGATGAGATTCACTGGGTGAATGCTCGCCAACCACACATATGACACCGGTTGGATTCATGACTGGGGCACTCGTTAACTTTACCTAATCGATAGTAGGCCAGGAAAATAAGGGAGGCAAGGCATCAGTACAGCAACACCACCGCCTAAAAAACAAAACATCACCTCTGCTGAAACCTGAAAGGCTTGAAGTCCTTCATTCCACTGAGAACACAAGGAATGGAGGAAATATTCACAAACCATTGGTTTTCGACTTATAACTGAACTCCAACATACTCACTGATGATTTCATGGGCATTTGCTGCTTCATGATACTGAAATAGAAAGAAACACCTGTTCAGTGTCCCTTGTTTACCAATAAGTTTAAATGATATCAATAGTGAGATGGTACATTCAAAGATTCATAAGGCTTCTTAATCTTACAGATATATTGTTTGTAATTATCCTGATTAATAAAGGGTGTATAATTAATCTTTAATTGCACTAATTTATCAACTGAATTAACTTATACTTTATTTCATTTATACATACGGATATATCCCTTATAGTTAAATTCTGTATTCTGGGTATACAAAAGCATATATGTTTTGTTTTAACTCATTTTCATAGATAAAATAAGTCAGGGGGGCTACAACAGTTCACATCGTTTGTAACTATCTACTTCATTCTGAAGATTGTAATTCATTATATCAACGAATGTAGTCTCTAATGTCTTACATAGTGTGTACAGAAAATATTTGACTTTTCCAATTTTCGAATCAGACTGCGTTGATTTCAGAGAGTAACTTTTGCGAGATATTATTATCTAAAGTACTGTCAAAGGGAGAAAAACACTGAAAATTATAATAATAATAATAACATCTTTGTTCTGGATAGTATTTATATAATTTACAGAATTTTCAGAGGAGTTTATTGCATGATATTTTCCCTTCGTATAATATTTTCAATTAAAATATTAACTTACAGTATATCCTGTGACATAATGGTCTCTGAGCCGAAGCACAAAGCATTCCATTGTGATATGTCTGCCCTGTCTCCTTCAAGAAATCCACGATATCTGGTTGAAAGGCATTTGTAAGGTGTTCAGAAGAACATTTTTAGACCCAAAGCCATAAATGAAGAACAGTTATCTTATGTACTGGAAAACGTTGCCATTTACAATCAGGTCTTTCCTCAAGTTTGGTAAGAACTTGCGAATCAGGAGTTTGTAAACATTTTAAATACACACAAGGGAAGATAATACTATTAGAGGTCACATCTTAATCGATTAAAACAAACTGAACGAGAGAAAATATATGCAATAGCGAGATGGAAGTTTTTGGTAGCCCAAGTTTTAAGCAGGCCACCGAAACTAGCAGAATAGTTAATCTGGAAATCTGTCCATGAACAATCTATTCACAAAATTCATACTTATTTGAATAATCCGATATTTTTAATTGCTACCCGATTCCCCGAACCCGTATATTGTTGTTCTATCATTTGCATATCTTCTTTTGACTTAATTCGTATTGTCTGCCTTTATTTCTAGTTGATCCCTAATTTTAACACTTTTCTTTGCTGTTTTGTAATGTGTTGTTTTACGACTGCAATTCTGTTTGAGTGAAGTCAAGGCTACGCTGCAGAGTGACTGCTTGACCTTGGACTGACTGTGCGAAATGTGTTTAGTTCTGTTTGATTCTCGCAGACAGAGTTCTGATCCCACCTCGTTGAGAATATGCTTATTGATTCCCACATATTTCGAAATTGTTTTTAGTCAGTCAAATTTGTTGAACAGTACGAGTTTCGTGCCTGAGAAACGTTTTCGATTGAATAGCTACTGGATGGTATAGTTGAGGTGGTGTTGTATTTTTGATGTTATTATTTTGAATAGTACCACAGATCCTATCAGGCTGAAACGTCCTTATGCTGTTGGAATATAATCTTTGACTGAGGGTGACCTTCAGGAGTTTGGAAAGCTATATAGAAGAACACATCGATTGGTTTCTTGGATTCAAACAGAAATACTGTCATGAAGTCAGTTGATGGATGGTGACTAGCAGTGAAATCCAGCATGCGCATCTGTGTCCACGTTATTCCCCAGTGAGTGATGGTGTTCCCACGAAGGTCTAGTGGTCTAGTGGATCACACTTTGGTGTTTGAAACTATCGGCACTGGGTTCGAGCATCGGTAGGAACACCGTCACTTACTGGGGAATGCAGGTACATCCAGATGACGGGGCTCAAATAGGACGAAACGCGTATCCTTGATTCCACTGCTAGTCAACATCCATCAGTTGACTTCAAGTTATATAACCAGACATCATCGAAGCATCTGCACAAGGAGCCGACATGTCAACCTGAGACCGAGCACTTCGGTCCAATCAATCCACGGGAAAATCTAAATTGAATTGAACTGTGTTACTATTCAACGAAAATACAAAATTACTTCAATAATGCCATCCGGCAGCTATACAGTCTAAAAGTTTTCTTAACTGCAGTATATGTACTGTCAAACAAAATGAATTGACCAAATACACTTTCGAAATACGTGAGAATCAATAGGAATGTTCGTGACAAGGTGGGATTAAAACTGTATCTGCGACAGTTACTCAGAAGAAAACACGTTTTCTACAGACAATCAGAGGTGATGGAGTCACTTCATTCAAACAAAATCCTAGTCGTAAAACAGCACATTTTCATCAACAGCAAAAGGAATTAATAGTGACCAGTGTGAAACAAAGACCAATAATAAGGAGCTATGTAAACGTTAGAGCAACAATGAACAGGGCAGGGGAAAAAGGTAACAATGAATCGGTAGCTACTGGAAAAATTGCCTTGTGTATATGTGACAATTCAAAACGAAGTTTTTATTGCGTACACAAAATAAAGAAGTGCATAATTGTTTCCCTAATTTTTATCATTCAGTGGTTTGGTAATTACGTTCAATGCTCAAGACTGGTCAATGTTCAATTCTCATGTTTGAATCTATTCTTTTGAATTTAGTATTTATTTATGTGCTTTTAAAATTTAGTTGTGCTAGACACTGGATAACAAATGTACACGGGATTATGTTTTC